TATATAAATATATTCTTGTAGAATATTGTACAGATTTTGTATATTATTTTAGATTATAATTATCATATCGCTATGAGTTCCAGTGCAATGCCATTTAATAATTTTATGAGGAACTTAATGATAAGTGCTCATTGATTCCAAATTTCATCATTTAATTTTAAAAAAGATAAAAAATAAATAAATATATATATATATATAAAAGAGAGAAATCTTACATTTTCACACAGTTTTTATACAATTTTTACATAATTTCTTATCACTAGCAAAGTCTTTAGTAAGAGTATAGGATTTTTAGACACTATTCCAGTCATGTAGATTGTATAATTAATCAGATATAAATCAAGTTTAAAAAAAAAAGTCCATCTTGTGCAGTCTAAAATACAAATTATCTGATCTAAGATAACTTTTTAGTAAACATTCCTGGCCATTAGTTGCCAAAGCAAATGTAAAAATGCTTATATCTCACTTAAATGAATGTGTGTGCAAGTAACAAACATTTAATTATGCTTTGATGCTAGGTCGAGTGATTTTTATGTAAATTAATTGCAATAATGTTAACATTTGTATTGTCAAATGTTTGTAAAGTGGCAAGAAAATCAACGCATTTTGTTTAAATTACATCATAAGAGTGTTGCAGCAGGCATTGACAAAGTATCGAGTTGATAGTACAAATCTAATTGCAAAATAAACTCATACTTTTATAATTTTGTGATAGCTTTTTAAATTGAATGCTGCATTTTTTAATTTAAGAAGAAGAAGAATACAACAACAAAACTTTTTTGTAAAACAAAAGAAAAGAATAATTACAATAATGTAATTAGTGATAGTGTATGTGATCGAAATGTTTAACATGTTTTTATGTTGTCCTAATCATTGTAAAAATGTGAATTTATTTGATTATGTGGCTTCATTTCACTCTCGAGAATCAACTTAGTCAGTTTTTCAATGTGAAAAGTGCATGAAAATTCATATGTAGAAATACTTATCATTATCAATAAATAAATTTTGATTTATTCATGAGATATTTATTTATTTAGTGTTATAATAGAAAGAAAAATAATGTCACAATTACGGTCATGACTGTAGAGTTAGTACACAAAATTACTGGCTATAACTCCTGATCCTCAACTTTTAAATCACAGACTCTAGTTCAAACTCTTTCATAAAAGCTCTGTATCTATTAATAGTAAGTCTACTAAAATAGTAAATGGTAACCATTTAAGATATTTTATCTTCATTTTGTGAATCACTGGTTACTTTTTAGACAATTTTCATAGGGTGTCAGAAAAGTTATTGTGCAGTTTGGAAAAGCTTTAAATAAAGTTGTAATAAAAGTGCAGTTTTATACGTGGGGACCCAAAAAAACCGGATTTTTTATATAAAAATCTTTATTTCTTAACTTTTTTACAAAATTCCTTCAGTCACCTTCAAAGTACTCTCCATTAGATGTGATGCACTTGTCAAGTCTTTTTCCCCACTGTTTGAAGCATCGCTGGAACTCTTCAACCTTGATATCGTCCAGTGCTTTTAGCAAAGCTGTTGTTACCGCCTCCACATCATCAAAACGCGTCCCTTTTAGATTTTTCTTCAATCTCGGAAACAGAAAAAAGTCGCATGGGGCTAGGTCTGGTGAATACGGAGGGTGGGGAACAACAGGCCATCCCCGAGAGGTCATATAGTGGGTCACTCATAAGGCCGTGTGTGCATGGGCATTGTCGTGATGAAGGAACCAGTCACCTGATCGCCAAAGTTCCGGGCGTTTCCTTCGCACATCCTTTCGCAGACGTCTTAACACTTTTTTTGGCGGATTTTTTCAACATTTTCATCATTTCGAGATGTTGAAGGACACCCAGAACTCCGCAGGCAGAACAAAATAACAGTAAGAGGAACACAACACTATACTCAAACATAAACCTGCAAACTGAAACCGTTTGCACAGCTTTTTCCTGAAGGTCTCTATTAACCCCAGGTAACGGGAGAACTCTACTACGTCTACAAATGGCAGCACGCTGTCAGTTCGGATTTTTTTGGGTCCCTCCCTCGTATATGTTATTGAAGTTTCTCCTACAGCAAATGCTAGAAATGTCCCCCAGAGACCCAAAACATCTAGGGAGAAGACCTAGAAGACCCAGATTCCATGGAAGATTATGCAATTTGCAAAGAAGTCTTCCAAAAACCAAAATGTCTAAGCAAGCAGTACACCATCTACCACAAAGTAGAAACACAGGACATACAACTTACAGATCTCTTACGAATGCCATACATGTAACTTTAATATCATTACAAATTTGTCACTGCACAGTAACTTTTTGTACACTCTGTATTTAAGTGTAAGTTTAAGTTTATAGCAAGATTGGAATTGCAAGTGGTAAATTATTAACAACTTCAACACTGTCCAAAAATTGATTCTACAGCCATAGTTACAATAAGTAATTTGCTGTTCTACATATATTAAACTTTAATTTTCAATAGTATTTCAAGTTTGTTGCAAAGATGACAGATTCAGATCTTTGAAAGCCAGTCTTATGTGTTCCAAAACTCCAAGAGATTCATTAATTTCGGGATGTTTAAAATTGTCTAAAAAGTAACAAGTTCCATCTTCTGTAAATCCTTTTGGCAAACATTCTTTGGGTCTTTCTGTGAATGTAAATCCTTCAGCTGCATTTAAAATCCTGAAAAAATATTTATTTTAAAAGTAATATGGAGAAAATTAATGTATATTCAAAAAATTCTTAAAACAGAGAACAATATTTTTAAAAAGTTTACTTTAAAACTATACTCATGCTGTTACATGAACCACTACAAATGAGCACTAACAAAGGGGAAATGCTGTTTGTATCATTCTCTGTGATGCTAAATTTTGTTGAACATTTTAACAAGTTAATTTATTGAACAAACAAAAGTTTGATAAAAGTTGAGATTCTTTCAACTCTTAACTGCTCAAACAGTCGCAGTTCATATGCCAATGTGAGCCTAGCTTTAAGTGTTCTTCAAGTTGTAAATCAAATGAATTATTTGTCTTTTTAATTCTATGCTTTGATAGTGAAAGGTGCTTTCTTTTCATGCTCATGACAGGTTCAACCAGGTCCACAGTGGAATGGTTGAATCTGCAATGGACATGGCTTGGCATATTTAGGCATCTATAAAAGTTGGGATTCTGACTTACACGTTAGACTTGAACCTGAATCCCTCAGAACAGCAGTTGGTTAAGGCTTGTTCCCACCACTATTCCGATCCACTTAATCATATTGATCTTATATCCAAATGAACTATTTAACTATAGTTTGAAGAATTGTCAAATTTATTTATATATTTGCATTAATCATATGTTAATTCAAACATATATTAGAAATTAATGTAACAAAAAATATTCTGCAATGACACAAACTAGAACAAGATATATTAGAATAATTTTAGCTTTTAAAAATTAACAAAAAGCAAATATATTGTATTGCATTTTAGATATTTTCAATATTAATTGCTATAAATTAGTTACTTCAATAATTTAAATTTCAGAAAATGTATCAAAATATATAACAATATAAAACAGGAATATGTGTGATAAGTAAATATTTTTTGAATGATCAAGCAAATAATTTACTTACAAAGAATAGACTTGGCAATATTGTGAGCCATTTATGTTTATTACTGTCCTATTATAGGTCCAAGAAACATTTAAATCTTGAACATTTATTTACTATGGTCAGTATAGTTTAACTTAGTGGAGTTACAACACCAAATGGTAGACTGGAATATTACAGCATAAACATCTATCATAAAGCCTTAATTAAATATTTTTGGAATTCAATTAAGGCTCTTTGATAGAGGTGTTTATTACTATGGTCTCAAGCAATAGCATCTGAGAGTCTTTGCTGATGTTACTGAATCTGTTTCTTCTGCATAAACTTTATTACATTATCATTATGTAAACTATACAAAATTCTAATTTCGAAACTGATGTTTTTCATGATTTATAAAATGAATAAATGTAAAAAGTCAGTTTGGATCAATAAACATAAATAGTAAATTCATGTATTTTATTTTTTATTGAGGATAGACTTTCTTTTAATGACTGTTTGTCACTGCTTAGTTTCATGGCTGAACAATAACATCTTTGATCCACTATGTAAGATCTGGATTTGAATCCAATCTTGATCCCTATAATTTATCATAAGTTTCCCTCTCTTACCCGTACTGCTCCACTTCATTATGGGCCTGTGCATTGTATGAGTTTATTTGATTTATAAAATTACAGTTAATATCTTTCAAACTACATTTGCACATGTGTATGGATGTAGTAACTCTTATAATTGCAACTTATAAAGCCCTGTTTTCTGCCATATGTTGTATTTGAGATTAACCGAAAAGATAGTGAGCTTGAGGGCACCTCGATGAATCTCGTTGTCAGCAATTGTACAGTACATTCATTACGAAAGTAGAGCCACTGAAGTAGGCCTTGCTTCCCAACTGGTAAAGACAGAGAGATGTGTTCGCTGGTATGACGTCAGATGAAAACTGACGAATGATTTGACTTTGAGTTGGCTCCTCTGGACTTCATCCATGAGGTTAAGATGGCAGATTGTTGTATGCTTGTGTGATAAAAATACCACGTTTCTGCAACAACGCGTCATCATATGTTGATAATACTGGAATGTATTACGATATTACGGATATTTTTTAACTATCCTGACACAATTTCGCATTATGGCATTTTTTAAAAAATACCATAACGCGTCATGACTATAAGCAGTTGGGACATGAAATTTCTTGTTGTGGCTGTTTCTGTAAATCATAACGTGCTCTGAGTGTCTAGTCTCGAGAACAAACGTGCTGAGAACATCACGTGGTACCAACTCGTTCGAATAGTCTGTGAACGAATTGATACCATGTGATGATGTCAATTCATCCATGTTGCTACTCATATAATTCAAGACTAAGCACCCTGGTAGTTTTTTCTGATCATTGAGCGTTTTCAATCTTCGAGACAGTCTCACATCTACGCACACCGTATAAAGCGTGCAACAGATATTTTTTCCTATAAAAAAAAATAACTTTCTTCGGTAAAAATTTTGCAATTCAAACTATAATTTTTCTTGAACTTCATGTAACTCACTTTATAATGTTGGGCACCATTCCAGGTGTTTCATTTTATATACATTTTGTTCTATGTAACATTCTATAGCTTGATGACTGCTGATAAAAACAGTTAAAAACGTTTGCTCCTATAATAAATTGGTTCCTTTTAATTGGATTACAAGTATTAGTGTGTGCTTTTATTGTAATCTCATCCAGTTTTATAGTATCTACATAATTATAGCTCTGTAACTTTAGAATAATTAAGTATTAGGCCTATATTGATTCCTTCAATAAGTATCTAGATTTTGCAACATGCAAATTTCAAATCACCAGTAAAGGCGTGGTACTGCTTGCATCATAATTCATTTCATTCAAGTTCTAGTTTTAAATTTAAATTAATATTCTCCATTCGTTACCATTGACCCATTCACTTTTTGAAGAAATTATTTTCCTAATTTAAAATTATTACCATTCGCCTTCTCATTGGCTGGTTCCAAATTGAGAGAGCGAATATGCTTACAGCATATAACATCAATCGCTCTCTTATTGGTTGATTCTAATTTGAATTCGCGATTTCTAGAAATACGTGATATTTTCTTCAAATTTCAAGTCTGTCATTTTTAAAATTAAATCAATTATAGACCTATATTTATTTTTAATGTATAAAATTATAGAACACGATGAGAAATTATAAATTTCAACGTTACCTGTGAGTAGTAGGACTTATATTAATTCTAAGAGCTTCGCTTTCAGATTCAAATTTGTTTGCCATAGTAACATTATGCCCGAACAAGCAATATCTTGGCATCTTCACTCCAACAACTCCTGCAAGAACTGTACCCGTATGTAAACCTATCCTCATCTATCAAAGAAATAAAATAAATTTAAAATAAGTCTCCTATAGGAAACAAAATCAAAATTTTGTGAGAATATTAACCTGAATCGGTTTTCCATCATGAGATTTCGATTTCTGAGCAGTTTCCATCATCATTAATGCCATCCATGCTGTTTGAATTGCATGGGTTTCGCTAGTTCTATGCAATCCTCCAACCACACAATATGCATCTCCGATAGTTTCTGTCTATAAAATGTAGTAGTATTAAACTGTATTAAATACAAACTACAACATAGGTATAGTTATATACATCATATTTAACGATATCAAGAGGATATTTAATTAATAACAAAATACAGTACAGTCTGTAATCCGGCATAGATAGGATCGGAACTGTGTTGGTGTTATGAGATTGCCGGAATATTGAAAGTAGAATGAATTCAATGACGCGCAAATTAATTTGACAGAACAAAACCTGACAAAACTAAATCAAATCAACGCCGTCATTGGTAACTGATATTGCAGAGTTAATTAATGGAGTTTGCTAAATTTAGTAATGAATTGAAGCACCCTGGAAAATTTAATGGGCGATACATTGCTTTTTTGACGGACGGGACTCATTTTCATACCTTTACAGTAATATATTATTAGATACTGTACCTTTTTTGAGTAGCCTAAAATGACGAGCCTAATAATTTTTAATATAGAGTGTTCAAGCTCCAGTTTTGTCTGGAAAACTGGGGTTTCAACTAACGGTCTAGCCTGAAAGTCTACTAGTGTCGGATTACTGGACGTGTCGAACTAGCAAACAATTGGATTACCGAAATTGTACTATATTTAAATATTACATGCTATATTATACTGTAAAGTAAGAGTACGGCTGCGGTAGTTAAGGCGTCTGACTACTGCTCTGGGATCCAGGATTGATTCTAACCGGTCGAAAAACGCAGAAATTTTTCGGTATGGTCTGTTCTTAATTTATCGGGTTTCATCTCTCATCACCTTATTGTGGATCTGATCAAATCCATCATTGGTTCAGCCATATTAAAACCCCAGGAATTTTTTGGAAGTTGTCCATCCGGTTATGTTGGGTCCAGTCCTTCACCACCTGACTTGGCCGAACCCGAAATGGGTTTGCTAAAAAGGCCCTCTTAGTGCCTACAAGGCGGAAAGAGTTTTTTAAATAGAGTATAGAGTATTAATATTAAAGAAAAATTTTGTTTCTAACTTGCAAAACTTTCCTACATGCAAGGTAAGTAAGTATATATCTTCATATATACTTACCTTGCAATGTAGGAACATTTTGGTAATATTTTATAATAATTCATTATAAAGAATGATCTGCAAGATAGTATGTTAAAAACATTTATGTAGAAATTATTTGTGTTTGCTTTTAGATGGCATTGCGCCCGAAAGACTTAACAGGTCAAGAAGCAATTGAGGTACTTGATAACATTGTAAATTACGATGAAGTTGCTGATATAATAATGATAGTCGAGCGGTCAAGGTGGTAGTCTAACGCTCTGGGGGACCGGGGATCGAATCCGGGCGGATGGAAAAATTTCCAGGAATTTTTCGGGACGGGTCCATCTGGATATGTTGGGCCCCATCTCTCACTACCCATAATGGGCTTGCTAAAAAGAGGTCCTATTAGTGCCCACAGGGCGAAAAGAGTTTTAAAAAATGATAACACTAGATGTTGACGAATTTAACTGATGATGAGAATATTGATGATAACGTCAATGGGATAGAATATATTGAAGATTTACATCAGGATATTATGGGAACATTAGAAAATAAAACATTGAATAAGACTTTATGTTCAAAAACAAATCACAATAAACAGGCATTTAGTATGAAAACGTAGGTCACGTTAGACGAAAGAATGACAATAAGTACTTTGTAGAAAATGTATATACCTAGACTGTTTCGAAACATGCCATGCTGCTAAATACATTATTAATTATGTAATAATAGCAACATTTTCAAATAAAATTACCTTCCTATGTTCCTTTTTTTGTTATTTATATACTCTGCAATTTAATATTGTATGATGTATTACGTATATACTGTATTGTATACGGACATCAGCCAACGGTTCGTATAAGAAACATTTTACCTGGTCACAACCAAAAGAAATGAAGTTTTTAACAATATACACTTTATAAAACACTACTCCAAAAACTTTATGCGTAGTAATTGTTAAAAATAAACGCCCTTGGCCGTAAATATTCATCTATTGTCAAATTTTACTAGGAACTAGCGAGAAATTAATAAAATAAACAATTTTAATAGGAAGAAAACTTTGTCTAAGACTTCGAAATAGCGAATGGAAATGCATGTCAAATATAATTTTAATGTATGTTTTTTTTTAAGAACGCATTGAATTTACCTTATAAACATCCAATTCTTCACAAAATACATCAAATTGAGTGTACAATTCATTCAGCATTGTAATCACATCCATAGGTGTAGCTGAAGAACAAATGGATGTAAATCCAACAATATCCGAAAATAGCAAGGTAACTTCATCAAACTGTTGAGAAGCTACTGTTTCACCTATAAAGTGGATTTAGTAAGGATCAAAATCAATTACTTTCATCAATGCTAAGAATAATTACACAAAATATTTACCTAACCATAATTTTTTAGCAATTTGGGCTGGAAAAATTAAATATAGAAGGTCCACATTTTTCTTTCTTTCTTCAGCAACAGCATCACTCGCTTCCTGGATTGAAGTTTTCAATTTATCCATTCTTTTTTTAAGACCATCCTGAGCTCTGGACTGTTCTTCCACTAACAATATATCTCTGGTAGCATCGTGTATAGGGATATCTGACATATGTAAACCTCTTCCTGTCATTGTTTTCAGACTTTTTACAACAGGAGAGCCGAGAAACAAAATGGTGTTCGATTCCACACAGTAAATCATCTGTCCTTTGATGCTTAATCTCTAAAAAAAATGATTTTTTTTTATATTTTAAACCTAAAAAGAAATATGTCTGAAGATTTACCTTATTTGTATCATATTGTGCTTTGTCCTTCAAGGCAATGATGAACGTAGTGTTAATTTTATTAATAATATTTTTAAAACTTGGAGTTATTTTTGGTGAAACGATCTCCAGAATCGAAGAGAATTTAATCTTTTCTTTTACATCTTGAAGGTTTAATAGTTTAACGAGACCTCTACCTATCTGAATTACATCAAGTGAATTATCGATAATAAAATAAAATGGAAAAGTTCGATAGAAGGTAGTCACTGGAACCTTTAAGTCAGTTGGATTTTTTGAAAGAATTTCTTGATAAGAACTCTGTGCATTATTATATTTTAAGTCGAAAATATAATAATCTTTATTCTTTTTTATTACATTAATAACTGTAATGAGATTGTATAATTCCAAAGCTATTTTCTTTAAAATGCCCACAACAATTGGACCCATGTAACTTCTGGTACTTTGATAATGTACATAATGACCTTGAGTGTGTGGTTTAACTGAAAATTGAATTATGCTTTCCATGTTATGGCTTAAATCTGTCTTCTTTAATACTTCCTGGAGACTTTCTACGTTAACTAGAAAGTCATTCAGGTTAACTCCTAAAAATTTAAGTGATTTTAGATAAATATTCGAACAGAAATGGAAAATATTATAACCAATGTCTTCCAATAAATTCATTTCTTCAATTCCTAAAATTAAAATTATTTATGTATTTTTGTTAAAAGCCAAAGCTCTAAAGGTAATATAATATTAAAAATACCAGTTAACTGCACTCCAACATTAATTATTTCAATAATAGTCTTTTCTACAACTTCCAAAACAGTTCCTTCGAAATTCATGTTCATATTTTTAGTCCAGTTATCCATTGTTTGAACTATTAGATCCATTGGAGGCTGAATGTCGACTTTGTTTCTTAAAAAGAAAAATCTTTTAAACTTTTTAAAAGGTTTTTAAACTTAAAAAAAAATCACTTACAGAATAATTCCCCATGCATCTTTATTTTTCGCCATTTTATTCTTCTTTACGCTCTTTTGCAGAGCAGCTAATAATGCCGGATGCTTCAAGTATAAAATGTTAAATTAACGTTAATGTGTATTGTCTATGCTTATGACAACTTTTTGATGTATAAACATAATACTTACAGGTGGACAGAAGAGCATACAAATGGCCGAATTGATGGAATGAAGAGTAAGATCTTCATTTTTTTCGGTGTTTTGTATAGAATCTTTAGATGTAATGCGTCTTTCGAAACGTGGATCAGATAATACTGTTATAGTATCAAAACGTTTATCAAAACAGGCAAACGGACATCCGACACCCATTTCGAACAAGTTATTAAAATCTCAACATGAGTAAATCATTGTAATAATAAAACACAGTAAAGTTAGATTTTCATTGGTTTTCGTGAAATTACGTCATGATGTAAACTTCATTGATTATGATAAGGTTTCTATAGAAACATATATATTATGTTTAATAAAAAAAATTGATTTTTTTTATTAAACATAATAGACAAATAAATTTCAAGTAAAGTAAGAGTAGGCTATATAATTTATATCTTATATGGCGCAAGATTATTATGGCATCTTAATTATCATTTCAAAATATTTATTTAGTGGTTATAGTTCCAACATAGATTACTACATATTTTGTTCTGTAAAACTCTATAATAACTTTAAAATGTAGGTTCTTCAATAGGAATCTATGTTTATTCCAAATAATAAACTTTATGGTAATTAGATAGCATTAAAAATATATTTACTAAGTTATTTTAAGACATTTAGTGTTATCACTATAGAGTAGAATATGGATAGGAAGATATATTAATGGTTTCTAAACTATCGAACTTATTGCACCAAGTCCATTGAGGAATTCCATATTAGTTCTAAATGACTAATTTATTATTATCAAAATCAACATAATTAAGTAAATAAATATCAAATATTTGTTTACTAAATGATCTTGATATGTTTAATGCTAATGCTTTAGCATATCGATAATTTAACATTAACATTGATGCATTTTTTTAAATTCATTCCGCCTTGTGGAATACCAATAGGGTCTTTTTTCCATGCCCATCATGGATTTAACCAGGCCCACAATTCGGGCGGTCCAGAGAAACTGGCCTGAAATATTCGGGACTGATCGCCCATGAGAAACTCTTGGGGAGTGTCTTACCCGGATTCAATCCGGGGTATCCCAGAGCGATAGGATGATGTCTTTACTTTCTCGGCTATCCTGTATGCATTGCTCCACTATACTTTTGGGTGCATCCTTCTTCGTTCTCTTTGCAGGCCTCTTTGGGCCTTTCTGAATGCACTGCTCCTTCATACTTTTTGAATTGAGCATTAAATTAATTTGATAAGTTCTCATATTAGAAGCAAATATAACATTAAATTGAGCATTAAAATCAAATTAATAATGAAAATTATTTTCTGTGATTTTCTAATTAACCCGTCACTAAATATTATATAAATATATAATTTAATTATATTTTTAAATTGATTCATTATAATTTAATTCATCCGAAATAAATAAAAATTTACAATAAAATAATTCTTATAAAAAGCATTTAAAAGCTTTATTCTAAGATAATTATATATTAAATTAATGGATATTTTATATGAACACAATATTTTATGAAAAAGTTATCTGTTGACACAGATTACTCCAATGCACATATAACATGCAATATCATTTCATTCTCTTTACATCAAAACGCAATAACCATTTTAAGGGAAATATGATGGATGACTCCATTAAAAATAAGTAAATAAAATGATACAGTTCCTATTGATTAAGTTTCATATTGCTCAATAAATTTCTCCTCCTTAGTTTTTTATATAAAATTAGAATTACAAAATAACATTATACATTCAAAAAATATACAATTCAATTTGTTTTTTAGTAAAAAAAACCGTAATTTAAAAAACAAGTAGGAGCTAAACAATGCTAATAAAATTTACGCTTCTCAGTATTAATCATCTTGCAATATACAATATATATTTATAGATGCTACAGTATGAAAGATGTTATTAATGCGGTAACCTTTGGATATTTTTTTTACTTATAAATTTCACTGAAATTAAATTTTCTACGCGAGATATTTTGTTAACAATTCATCTCTTCCTGTTCCAATGTTAGTTAATGGAAAATAATGTGAAATTTCGCCAGTAGAGATCAGCACGAACTGCAAGTACACACTTCAATGACGTCACTTTTTTTAACGTTGAATTTATTAAAAAAACTAAATAAAATTATATTAATTCTAAAATAAAGCATTTAATTACACGTACTGTACAGGTACATGATTTTTAAATGTAAACACAGTATTAATAATTAAAACCTACTCGCTAGATGGCGCTTCTGTACGTTTGTAAAATTCAAATTTTGCTTAACCAATAGAATTGAATGTAAATTGATTAATTAAATTTAAAAATTCAAAAACTAAAATAACGGTTTTAATTTTAAATCAAAAACAGAAAAATTTAGTTAGCGTTGTTACGTAAATATCGCGAGAAGATATGCAAATTAGCTTTTTTTTTAAATTTTTTTTATAAAGATGTAAATTTTTTTTAATTTAAGAAAATTTTAGAACAGCAATTAATTATTTAATTATTTATTTAATACATGACTAGGTTAGGCCATATTTTTAAATTAATTATTTTTTAATTTTATTTAATTTTGTTTCTTTTTTTTAGAAAAGAAGCAGAAATCGAGATGGAAGGACAGTTTTTAGTAAGATTAATTTACGAAGACGAAATGACTTATAATATTGTTGCTGCAGCAGAGAAAGTGTTACGTATGTTTCTAATAAATTCTTTAAAAAAATTGTTAATTCTAATCAAATTTCGTTTTTAGATTTCTAAAGCAGTTACTATATATATATTTTTAATTTATTTTAGAAATTCCTGCAGCAGATATTTTAGAATTATTTGGAAAGATGTTTTTTGATTTTTGTCAAGAATCGGGTTATGATAAAATTCTACAAGTATTAGGAGCTACTCCTCATGATTTTCTACAAAATTTGGATGCGTTACACGATCATTTAGCTACGATTTATCCAGGAATGAGAGCACCATCGTTTCGTTGTACAGAAAATCAAGAAGACGGAACATTGATTTTACATTATTATTCAGAAAGAGAAGGCTTGGAACCAATCGTTATTGGAATCGTAAAGGTAATTTATATAAAATTTAATTAAATTTTAATTATTTAAAATATATTTTGTCGTTATATATTTAGGCTGTTGCGAGTAAATTACATAAAACTGATGTAGAAGTTGAGGTAGTAAAAAGTAAAAAAGATGATTGCGATCACGTTCAGTTTGCCATCATAGAAAAAGGTGATAAAAAATGTACAGCTGAACCAGAATTAGAAGAATTCGAAACTATGTCCTTAGAAAATAAAATAAGTCCAGCAACTTTCTGTCGTGCTTTTCCTTTTCATATAATGTTCGATCGAAATTTGGTTATTAAACAAGCTGGAACATCTGTGGCTCGTGTTGTACCAGCCTTATCACAACCAAATTGCCTCGTTACAGATGTTTTTGATATGGTTAGACCTCACATGGAATTTAATTTCGATGCCATTCTATCACACATTAACACTATCTTTGTCCTTCGCACCAAATGCATGGAAGGAATGGAAAATGAAAACGAGCATTCCAGGTAATTGTTACATTGAGTTCTAAAAAATTTACAAATTTGATATTAATTCAGTAACATTTTAAATTATTTTCAGAATTCGTCTCAAAGGTCAAATGCTTTACATATCAGAAACGGAGTTGATTTTATTTCTCTGTTCACCAAGTGTATTAAATTTGGATGATTTGTACAGAAGGGGATTGTATCTGAGCGATATACCATTACACGATGCTACTAGAGATCTGGTACTGTTATCGGAACAGTTTGAAGCTGAATATAAATTGACAAAAAATTTAGAAATATTAACTGATAAGTTACAACAAACATATAGAGAATTAGAAGATGAAAAGAAGAAAACTGATAGGTAGGGAGCGAGTTTAAAGTGTATTATTAAAATGAGGCTAATTTGCATTTTTTTATAGGCTCTTATATTCGATTTTGCCACCAAGTGTGGCTAACGAATTGCGTCATCATCGCCCTGTTCCTGCTAAAAAATACGAAGGTGTAACTATTTTATTCAGTGGCATCGTTGGATTTAGTCAGTATTGTTCTAAAAATTCAGATTCCAAAGGAGCAATGAAAATTGTCAAGCTCCTGAATGACATATACACAACTTTTGACGTTCTTACAGATCCTAAAAATAATCCTAACGTATATAAAGTAAGTTAATATTTTTCTTAATTTTTTTAAAAATTAACTCTCGAATATAAAATCTATAATGTTTTTTTTTTAAGGTTGAAACCGTTGGTGATAAATACATGGCTGTTAGTGGATTACCTGAACCTTGCAAGACACACGCGAAGTGTATTGCTCGTTTGGCATTAGACATTATGGATTTATCTAAAAATATCAGGACTGAAGATGGAGAATCTATAGTAAGGCTTTATTTTTATTTTTTTGGAATTTCATCTAAATAAACTCTAATGCGATATCTTGTATTAGAAAATCACTATTGGGATTCATACAGGAGAAGTAGTAACAGGAGTGATTGGTAAAAGAATGCCAAGATATTGCCTCTTCGGTAACACGGTAAATCTAACTAGTAGAACAGAAACAACAGGTGAACAAGGAAAGATTAATATCTCTGAAGATGCTTACAGGTAAAAGAATCTTAGATTTATGGAATTGTATATAATTGATGATGTATATACGTTCTTATATTATGCAGATGCTTGCAGCAATCTGAAAATCACGATCCAGAATTTCATTTTCAATACAGAGGACCAGTTCAAATGAAGGGTAAAAAAGAACCAATGGAAGTTTGGTTCCTTTCGNTCTTCCTTTTCTCATTATATAACTTAATCACGTAATATTTAAGCACGATATTGGTTTACTAAGCGCAATATTCGATTTTTGAATATTAAATTAATTAATATATTATTTTTTAAAATTTTCCAGGTGTTTTTAGCAGAGAAATGATCAATAAATTAAAGGGAAATTTATTGATGAAGAGAAATAAAGTATCAGATGCATTTCTCATTGATGTAATGATCAATGAGAAATGCACTCAAGTTATGTGTTGTTACCTTATCTGAACGTGGTTAACCTCAACTAAAGAAAAGTTTTCTAGGAAATCTAAGTTTATAATTTTCTTAAGAAATCATTAATTATACTTTATAAAAGAATTTAAACACTAAATTTTGCTTCTTACATTAAAAAAATTATTAATTAATTAGTTAAATCCGTCTCATTTTTTTAGAAAACCATTCTTCCAGTAAAAATATTTTTAGACATGTTTTGAAGATTTTATGAAGATTTTCAAGGATATTTTAAATATAAATATATAAAATATAGTCAAAATTTGATATTGCATCACCATTTACTCGTCTCAAATTGACACTAAATCGAGTGTGGCGCTAAACTGAAGAACCTCAAACAATATCTAATAATGAGGTCTATACACAAGTTTGAATAAGAGCGTGAATTCACGTCATTTGGAAATAAGAATGTCGTTTTTAATCAAAATACTCTGTCCGTTCGCAAGTATTTATTGACACTGCGGGATGCGCTATTTTGAAAGACTCTATACGAGTTTCAATGTGAATAATTTATAAGAGCTATATGAAGATTTTTGTGCCATATGTACTCATAAGTATACAGTGAGGTAAGTATGATTATAGTCATATATAAATATTTTATACGGATGAAGCAGACTTAAAATATAAATGTAAGGATGACTTAAGGCAGGCCCAGGGGTGGCTGTGCCATTGTGCTATTTTCGGTGACTCTTATCCATTGTTCCAAATAATGAAATTCGATTTGATTATATTTTTTATATACGTATATAATTTTTAACGATTAAATTTCAAATATTTTTGTATTATTTGGTACTGTACGTAGCCTAAATTATTTAATAGTATGACTGGACTTTCTTTCTCTGGGGTACTCCATTATCTACAGATCCGTGGTAAAGCCATTCCAAATATATTACAACTACTACTAATATCATTAGTGTAGCTCATTCCTCAATTTAAGGTATGTGCTTTCATACAGTGTTTAACTGTAAATGTATGTTCTGATGTACTGTACTGTACTGTATACATACACTAAATATATGAAATTCTTAGAATAATAGGCAAAAATTAGACTATAATCATGTAAATTGATCTGAGAATGTGTAAAGTAAATAAATTAAATTTTTTAGAATTTTAGGTTAGTTTTATTTTTAAATTACTTTATTAATAATAATTATAAAGCATCAAAATTATTATAAGTTTATTCTTATATTTTATAAAATTATTCTAAAATTTTTTTATTTATAATATCGATCGGTTAAATAATAGTCAATTTAAAAATCGATAATGAATCTTGTTAATAGATAAAGATTACGTAGCATAAGCATCGTTATAGTTGATAAAGAAAGATTGAAAAATTTCGTCTGAAAGTAAGTTTATAGATTTAAATTTTTTATATTTTTTTAATGTAATATTGATGGTTTTAAGTAGAATTATAACGTAGTAAGCCTTAGAATATACATCGTATACACTTCAGTTAGTAGCTTAAGTACTTGTACACCAATAAGATTATCTGCAGTACTTACTGGAGAATTTTTATAATGTATTTTTATAATCTCTCAGTAACAGTAGTGCTGTTGGTAATCTGTTAGTAGTCCAGTCAGTAGAAGGGCTCACCAATGAACGAGGTTCGCGCCTAACATATAGGCAGGCCATGTAAAGTTTTCTGGGTTTTCTTCACGTGTCTAACACCTAAATAGAACCAGCTTCTCATAGAAGGTCCATCCAGGAAGTACCCATTGACAGATTACCATATTAGCATGAATGTATTTTGGTACTTTAAATAGTATTCAGAAGATTTAGCACGTTATCGAAGGGAGCGAATTTACATCTCGTTCATGATCTAAAGTTAAATGATTATTGTAATACATTAGCTATTTAATGTACAGTACATTACACTACACACAAACAGTGAGAAGTTAGTGTATACGGTATTACATTAATACATTATTTTAACATTAAATGTTACAATTAATATAAGCGTTTGTAAACAAATGAATATATTAAAACTTTTAAAGAACAATTAGCCAAAACGTACTGTAGTTCATTCAATGTAAATAAAGAATAGATTTATATATATGTGAGGCTTCTAAGCTATGACGTAAGGCCTTACATTCTAGCTTATATGAATATCGAGAAAGTTTCATCTGTAATTATTCAGTGAACTTTCTCTGTGCTTTAAATTTGAGACTTCAGTACACGTAAATCCAGCCTTATATATACTGCACATAGATCTGAACATATCACTTTAGTATATAAAATCAGAGATTTTTTCCAAATTCTAATTTATAAATTTCTTCACCCTCATCTGTTGTTACATCTGTTTGATTAAGTATACATCGTATGGGATATATGATTAAATGTGCAAAACGTCCTTCTGACATATTCTGTATAGGAAATTTATACTCTGAGATCAATAAAGAAAACAATCTTTAACAAAGATCCAGAGTTTTCATTAGTTGTGTCAATATTTAACAGATTTATTTCTTCCTTTTCTCATTATATAACTTAATCACGTAATATTTAAGCACGATAATGGTTTACTAAGCGCAATATTCGATTTTTGAATATTAAATTAATTAATATATTATTTTTTAAAATTTTCCAGGTGTTTTTAGCAGAGAAATGATCAATAAATTAAAGGGAAATTTATTGATGAAGAGAAATAAAGTATCAGATGCATTTCTCATTGATGTAATGATCAATGAGAAATGCACTCAAGAAATTTGCTGTTATTGCCATCTGTATCCATTTTTTCAAATATTGAAGTTCTTTGGAATTGTAATTGTATATCCCTGTTCCTCTAAAGAAACATTGATAGATCCTTACTACAGAATGTATCAGAATGTGATACTGATAGCTCCTTACTTCATGTTAATATTAGGTACAATAGTATACTTTATCGGTTTTGAAGAAACTAAAGTACTAGGGTCTAAGATTTTGTATATTTATGGAGATGATAACATAGATGTTATCTTCTGTCTCTTGTTTACATTCTCTTCATTTTACGCAACATTTCTCACCATCCTGCTTACGAGAAAATACGTAAATTTAACGCATTTCGACTTAGGCACTATGGACGATGAACTCCGATTCAAAATGGCGTCTTATGTAGATATTATGTTTATGATTTTTTTAATTTTTCACTTCATTTTATCTATAACATTTGCATGCCAGGTTGCATACAAGGGTTTTGATTACATAAGTGAAGATATGGAATATTCATTTGTCGTTATAGTCTTGTTTATCGTAGCTGCTGGTATTATTCATGCTTGGGGTATTTTATTATATGGTGTAGCAACGTGCATCCTAGTTTGTATGTGGATCACACTAAATCTCTATTCTATACATATTAAATTATTTAAAAAATCTAGAACTGATATCGATTACAAGTTCTTCAAAATGATTCATATGAATCATATCAAAATTTGCGAATGTTTAGAATATATAAATAAAAATACAGGATTTGTGAGTTTATCATCTTACGTTGCACTCATATGTCTCACTTGTTTTCATTTTTATATATTTTGTTTCTCGGAAATTAACCTTTTAATGAGATTCCATGTTTTCGCTTTGAGTGTCATTTACATTTTTCAATTGGCATTGTTATCATTTTATGCTGGAGAAATTGCTTCTATGGTAAATATTTTTAATTAAAGACATATTTAATTTAATAATATAAATTAATATTTAAAGATATACAAAAAATATATTTCTTCTTCTACAGTCAAGAGGATGCTTCACAGAACTTTGGAAATTTGACATTAACTTGGAGACAATTGAAAACAAATTTAAAGTCAGTCAACTTTTTGAAATTATAATTGATTTTTTTTCCTATTTTTCCAAAAGTAATTTAATTTTTATTCTGTTTTTTTTTTCTTTTTCTAGTTTTTCATCTTAATGAAAAAGTACAGCGGTATGCCATCAGGAGTCAAACTATGGAACTGTTCCGTAATCGTCAAGAAATTCGTATTAAGAGTAAATATTAATAAATTAATTTAAATATTTATATAGTTTTTTTTTTATTAAAAATATTTACTTTTACAGGGTTTAAGTTCTTTATATTCTTTATTTTCTACACTTATGCACCTTCACAACGTGATGGAAAATAAGAAGTCTAAATGTGATATACAAGAAAATTTTAATAAAAGTTTAATTAATATCTCAAAAAACAATTTTATTTAAGTTTTTTCGAGTTGTTTTTTTAAAATAATGTATTGTTTATTTTTAAAATTTTAAAAATAAATTTAAAGTAATGTTATCAAATTTGCTAACAGATGGCGCTACGATTACTAAAGTTACTTTACTCGTTAGATGGCGTTACAAATGTTTTAATGTTCAATTTCGTGTATTGTTATTGAGTAAATTAACCAATCACATTCCTTAATTTAAACAAAGATAATTTTTTTAAAAAAAATGTAAAAGATTAATAAATAAAGTAATTGATTTTTAAATCTATGTTGTATTTTCTCTTAATTTTTACACATTAATTTAGCACTTTTTTGATTATTTTACTGTATGATTTTTCCAATTGTTCAGTTGATGTTATATACTTATATAATGCCTTTTTTTTTGCTATAAGAATATATTCTATTATGCTTTATTTAGCTTAACAGTGTCATACATTATATATAAAATTATATAAACTTTTATTTATTGTTTAAAATATTGATTTTATAAAACTTTACACTACTCTGTTTACAACTTACGTGTATATATATAATGCTCTAGTTTTTACTGCAAAGTTTAAGTGTAAATAATAAGCTAGTGTTATATTGTCAGATTATTCTATACGCCATCTTACTTTTAAGAGGATTTTTTTTAATACTTTCCTGTTTACAGTGTACACATGTAAATGCTCTTTGTTATTGTAACCTACAAAAGTTGTACAGTACCTGTTCTATAACCTATAACCTACAAAATATTTACTTCAATAATAATAAAATCTCTTTATAAAATTAGATATTTGGTTACTTTTGTATCTGTATAACTCAAAATTAAACTTTCTCATATACAGTAAAATGTTTTAAACAATAAAACAATATACTGTATTTTCATTTTTAATTGTTAAATATTTTTTTAATTTTAATTTTTCAGATTAAATCTTAAAAAAATATCAAAACAAAACAAAAATTTGATAGTTTTCTTTATTTATTCCTTTAATAAATATATTATAAATTTACAGATAATATTACTAACCGTTAATATCATAATTTAATAATGTGTAATATATAGATTTTTATATAAAAGGGCCCTTAGGAGGAAAGGGAGGCCTCGACTGGAATCTGTATAATTAGATTTTAATTACGAATTAATAAAAATCAATTTATATAATTTCAAGTGTATAAGTAGTGAATTTAAAAACAAACGTCAAAAGATGTAGAGGGCCCGAAAGAGTGACATAGGGCCCACGGCAACTCCCTATAGCTTTGGCTATAGAAATATGATGGAATGTACTGTACTATACAAAACACATTTATAACAGAAAAATAATGAAATATACATTTGTTCTAGATAATACAACTGTGATAAAATGTACATTTGTTCTATTTATAGATTTATAATGAAATATACATTTTTATATTTATAGAATAATGTAAATTTCATTTCTTTATTTTTATTATTTATTTGTTATTTTTCTTGACGTCAAAATAGTTTCAAAAACGAAACAAATGTAGAACTAATAATGTAAAACGATACGTCACTAATAATATTCCATAAAACTTAATTCATAGGCATCATAAATAAAGTAAATACAGTCGGGTTATTTTAACGGTATAATGGAGCAGGGAACGTTATCCTTGTCTAGGAACAATATTGACCTGATTTGTCATCTGCCAAATTTATCTACAGGACCTCTAGTCTTTCCTCACGAGACCAATCTCATTGGCCATGTATAAAAAGAGTAGGCAATTACTGTCCTCTATCTAACTGATAAGAACTTCTTTAACTCACTATCCTCTCCATAGGAGGAGTTCTTATACCAAATCGTATCGTGTTGCCAACCTAGCCACCAATTATTAACTATAAACAAATTTCGTAAAATGATTCCTATTTGGTGTGGCATCGTAAATGAATTTATATGTTTCTACTTGATTGATATATGACTTCTTATACTATTTATAAAAGTTTTCAAGCTTAATATAAACTTTAACAGATTGATTTATGAAAGCTGGAGGAATTTTTTTGAATTTTTTTAACTTTGATTAAGTTAAAAAACACGCAAGAAAGTCTTCTCTATTCTGCTTTTATAAAGTGTAAAATATAGCGAAACTCGTGAAAATTTTATACATAATTTACAAAAAAAAACATATGTATTAAATGTAATTTTTATGTTTTTAACTTAATATACATTTTCTAAATTCTTCCAGATGTAAATTTTAAATTAAATTAAATATATAACTACGAATAGCGCCTGTAATTCGTCTACACTGCATAACAAGCGAATTAAACTACTTTTTATTCCTTTATAAAGTACAAATTTCCATCTATTTAAATACAAAATTGATTTTTAAAAATTTTAAAATTAATTACATTTTAAAAAGAATTTTTTAAAAATCTAATAATTAAATTTTTTTTTATCTTACGCTTCGTTATAGAATAAGAGGCTTAGTTTTATTATTATTATTATTATTTAAATCAAGTTTTGCCTTCAAAAAATACAAAATTTAACTCTAAAACGAAAGCCACAACTGATTTAATTTATAATTATTTCAAATGTTGGCTAGAAGTTGTTGTTCTTGTAAAAAAAAAATCGATTTAAACTGTATAAGAGGAGGGAGGGCCGTTTTTATCAAAGGAGCAATGATAAACTAATGGGAATTTTCAACCACCCCAACTATTTTTAGATTTTCCTTTTATCAAATAACATAATTAATATGAAACGAGGCTTGGCCTTAACGAAAAATTGAGATTTTTTTCGAAATTGCAATGAGTCATATCTTGGTAACAAAACAATTTTAAAAGACTATTTGGAAACAGTATATCCGTTAGAGTTATCCCTTCGTCTCAGAGGATTTCTTATCGTAACAAACGAAGTAGGAGCATCTCGGGTATCAAGGGAGGAGGTAGATGAGTCCATCGAAGGAGGCGTCAAGACAAAAGACGCCGCATATGTAAGACGATCCTCCCCATAGTGTTGAACTAAGTAAGAGTAGGAAACAGGTCTGGAGCCTTTACGTCGCTCACATAGATAGTAAAGTAATGGCAGACATTAAATCAACCCAGATGAGTGTTTGAGTTATTGTCTGTGTACTTGTTGTGTGACCAAGTTGTATTGAAGGTTATCGTCCCTCTGTTATTCTTAACTCCCAATACATAATGTATATACAGCTCTCGATCGTTTCGTCCACATCCCATTTTTGTGTCTCCTTATCTACTTTCTAGTCTCATAATTCTTATAAGTGCAATTAAATTTGACTGTCACGAAAATTGTTTAAGTGGTGTGATAATCCGTTATCCGGGTTCAAAATAAACTTGCCATTATGCACATTTTCTTGTCGATGATAATAGATATTGTTCTAATTTCGGGATGATGTTAAGTGCCTTCTTCGTTCTTTCCTGCTTTCTACGTCGATTTTTTAGTATTGGCATGTGATTTTTTTTTATATAATTTTTCACTATTTAGCTCTAAATAAGAGCATGATGACAACAACTATTCCCACTCTTATGTCAACATGAAGATAAGTTATGTCGATAGTTGAAAGGCCAACGACTTCAGTCAATTCGTAGTTTGAAACTAACATCTAAAAACTCCAACACACACGAAAAAAAAACACTTGGTAGATTATTTTAAGGAGGATTTAAATCCCTAAGTAGTCAAATTTTTGAAAAATCCATGCAATTTATGACTATTCACGTTGTCCATTTACGACAATTATAATTTAAATCACTATTAAATATATTTTTAAAGGATAAATTAAGTTATATTTAACTTATTTGTCCACAAATTTATTAATCCTTTGAAATTTAGTTTAAATTTTTGTGCCGTTTATAAGCATTTCATACTGAAAACCTAGAGAATCTATTGACCCATTTTACACCAATTTTAAAGAACAAATATCGATAGATATTCCTAAAATTTAGATTAAAAGAGCCGAATCTTGAATCTAATTTCAATGCTCTATCCTTATTCATATTTTAAGTGTCCTTTTCCTACTCGTGTCCTTCTTTTAAGTTCTATTCCTCTCATGATTTTGTTTTAAGGCTTTATTCCTACTCCTATCTTTATTTTAAGTGTTCTATCCCTATCCTTCCTTTAAGTGTTCTTTTCTATTCCTGCTTTTATTTTCAAATATTCTATTCTCACTTCTGCCTTTATTTAAAGCGTTCTATTCCTACTCCTGCCCTTATTTTAAGTGTTCTATTCCCATCTTTGTACCTATTTTAAGTTCTGTACCCCCTATTTCTAACTTATACCAACATTTTACATGATCTTTCCCTATTTTTACACGTTCCACTCCCTATCCCTTAAGTTCCTATCGCCCTTTCATCTAAACCCTCTATTTTTAGTTGCTCTATATTAAAGAACAGGAGCAATTACTTCACCTATTTTAAACCCAAAATATTTTTTTCAGGAGACGAACAGAGGCAGATACATTGGAGTAATTTATTCACATCTCAGACAGCCAATAGAAACGAATTTAAGAGAATGTAACACGCGGGAGGGGAGCTTAGATTTATAAAACAATGTGACCTCTTGTACCTACAACAAGATAAATTGCTTACTAGACTTTACTTTGCCATAATTACCTAACAATTTACTAGGAAAGAAAATGACAATAGCTTCGATATAATTGGCTATCCAGTTTGAAATTTACGTGTTTTCTTTTTTTCTTTTTTCTTGTGTTTTTTATTCTTATTCCTTCCGCCTTTTCGTGAAGATAAAAACTATTGTTTCACACATTTTCTACTTTTAAATTTTCAAAAACTGGTTTTCTCGTCACGTGAGGGGGGTCGTTTCATCTCTCATTGGCTCCTTCCATCGACCAATGGTGGCTCAGTACACGGCTCAATAACACGGAAATGCCTACCCATTCATTATATTGATAATAACAAATGGTATGTCGTGCCTGGAATGCCTAACATGGTTGCTTTTATTGGAAATAATTCA